CCCATATGAAACAGACGGGGATGCTCGTCGTCTCGCTTAGGGGTGTAAATTTTGGATTTTGGTCTCGCTTAGGGTGTTCCGGGCAAAGCGCCAATATTTTAAGCCGCCAAGGTCTCGTTTAGGGTTCCGCGAAGAAACACAGAATTACGCGAAGAGAAGCAGAAGTCAAATTTTCTTTTTAACTTTGTTTGTTATGTCTTTATATCATTAAAACTCATTGCATGTCGTATTTGTGTGTTTTTAAGCGGTCTCTTTTAGGGGTCAAAATTTGCTTAAGCCACGCCCAGATGGTCTCCTTTAGGGGTTAAATTCAAAATTTCCCACGAGGATCCCCGTCTGTTTCATATGGGAGTCCCCCCCCGGGCATACCAGCCTTCTTCAGGTTTACATCTGTTTACATCTGTCCATCCGAAATATCGGGAAGCCTCAACTCGCTTTTCTCTTTGCTGTTTTGTTATTTATGTCTATCTGATCATCTTGGGGTCGGTATTATTTCGAGGTCGCTTTGGGGATCATTACTGGGCTACTGTGTTTCTATCCAGTGGCTCCCTAGGGTTTTTTTTGCAAAAGATTCAGTAACAACGGTGTGGGTATGAAGTCCGGCTGTGCGTCTTGGGAGAGCGCTATGGTATGGGCGCTTGGGCAAATCATTGCACAAGAGCGACCCGATGCTGATAGGGAAGCTCAAAGTGAGGCGAATACGTTATGTAAAATTATATGGGATGCTCTTGCCGTATGCATTTTTTTGTGAAAACGAGTACGTAGTGCATGGCTGGTGTGACAAGAAAGGGAACTTCTCATCTCCAGACATATATATCTCTCATACAAAAAGCTTAAAAAATCTTTCGCGATTTTTTCCGAATTTAAAACTTTTAGATACATTTGACTGTGTAGGCCATCTTGCTTTTTGGACATTTATAAAAAATTCCTTGTCACTCTCCTGTTTCTGAGTTTCGTATTAACAGTAAAAAATGCGTGACTCAGAACCCTCAGCATTCGATAAGGGCGATACATTACGCAACAACGCCTTTAGCCCCTTAGTTCGGGGGTCGAGATTGTTGACTGCGCCTCAAGAAAAAAATGGCGTATGCGATTATAAAATGGTGTGGTCGTGTCTTATGGTTCATCCTGTTCGAAATTCAGCTTGGAGCCTTTGTGTTTTTCCAGTTCATAGGACTTCTAAATAGTGGGTGGTTGCATTCAGTTTTGCAGCTCGTTGCTATAGTTTTGGTTTTCCTCCTGTATTTCTTCATCGTTTCAGTGATTATTCTAGCAGAAGCGACATGGAGTGATGGATTTATTCTTCCCCAGTTATTTTTTGGATGGAAGTTGTACATTGGCTTTGTTTTTGTGCCAAATGTAATGGGTATATTTGGTGGATTTGCCGTTTATAAGGCGGAAGATTTACAAACATCCGGTATAAATAGTTTAACGTTAACGGTATGCGCAACACCTATCCTGCTTCTGCTGTTGTTGATCACCGCGGATGATTCGTTCAGCTCCAGAAGTCACAAAGATCTTGTCCGGAATTTATCCATCCTGATGGTCATTGATCTCATCGATGGCATTGAAATGTTGGACAGTACTCTAAAAGGCAATTCCTATGGAATTCACAAGAGCTTTCTGACCTTAGGCGCCGTAATGATCATTGTTTTGTCATCATTCCAAATGGCTGAATACAAATTCGTTCGAGGGGAGCTCATCATGGAGCAACCGATTTACACAGCAATCGTTACCCGCCATATTTTCGTGATAATCCTGAACTTGGTATTCCTGATCGTTCGTGTGAAGGTTTCCAGGCCCATCTTAGTCATCTTCAAGAACTGTATTATCATAACATTGTCTGTAATACAAATCTGCTCTCTGACATAGCACACATAAAACTTGTGAAACTTGTGACCTTAATTAACTTCACACAGCCCGTTCATGGCTATAAAGACTAGAAAGACACCTTTATATCTAAAGGATTGTAACTTGTTAACTTATTTTAGTTGGTAAAAAGACAAAAATTGGCACGTTTTCTTTGCTGTTTACAATAAAACATGGGCTTGATATAGATGATTGTGTGTGTGTGTTTTTTTGTTTTATTTTCTTTTGCATGTCACGCAACAGGAACACCCAACGATTGTTTTATTTAAAATGTCTTGTTTGGAGAGGCTAGGCAAAAATTGCCTAGAATTTTCTTTAGCCTGAGGAAGGCTAGAACTTTCTAGATGACCGTTTCATTCATGTCAAATTTTCGAATCTTATCTAACAAATTCCCTAAGATTTTCTTAAGTTTATTTTTTCCCATTTCACTCCCCAGGTTATGCTATTTTTACGTCATTTTCCGTAGAGAAAGGAAATATCTAGAGGAACTCATAAACGTTGTTTGAAGTAGTACTTTATCTAATACAAGGACTATTCAGATAGCAAAATGCCCCCAAATGAGTCACTATTTTACCTATTTGACAGCTCCCCGGCAATCTCGTTCCCAGGGTTTTAAAAATAGCCTGAGTATCAGGCGTTTCTCGGGGGAGGGGGAGGGGTGAAGAGAAGAGCGAAAAAGGGAGAGAGCGAAAGGAGAGAAACTTTGTCCCCTCCACCCTCTCCCCTCCCCGCTTCTAAAATCTCCCTGCCCCTCTGGAGAGGACCCTGGGAACGAAGTTGCTCTCTCCGCTGCCATGTCAACAACTGCCGGGTCACGCAAAGCTTAGAAATTCAAGCGTATCCTATTACAAACCAAGGAACCCTTTCGAAGTGTAAATTTGCAAAAATAAAAGTTTTTAGCTGGTATTATACTTCATGAAAGTAAAAACTGTGGAGGATAGATAAATCAACTTACTTAATGTTAAATTTTTATAACGTTATGTGAAATGTGATACTTGATTACGTAATCCCGAACTTGCGAGAGTATATATAGAAATGTACTCAGTGTACTTTTATGTCGAAACTAAAAAGCTCCAGGCGCCCAAGACAGTCTTGGATCCTGGATTGGATTCCACGCCGTGGATTCCGGATTCAAGGTAAAGGATTCCATGTTTTGTCAGTGGAACTCTTGGACCCTGTATTCCAATCTTTAGTGGGATTCCAGATTCTTTCAGCTGTATTCCGGATTCCAAAGCCTAGGATTCCGGTTTCCGCAAGCAAAAATTTCCCAGATTCCGGAATCTGGATTCCCTTACATGGAGCCCTTTTATTACATGGGACGACCTCAGAGTAGCTTTTATTATAATAAAGGATGAAGAAAAACCTAAACACTTTTACTTTGAAGCTCTCGATTGCAGGAAGTACCCTGGGCTTGCCCGAATGTTCGCTGGTACTAAAAATTCAATAAAAAAACGATCAATGAAAAAGACGCGTAAAAATCTTCCTGTGTAGCGGTTCTTACTTCACAATTTGATCATTGTCAAACAAACTAATTATTAAAACAGAAAAGAGGAACTAAATTCAACAAAACGATAGCTTTGCGCGAAAACTTTAAACTTTAAAAGAGAGTTACAACGAAGTTGCCTTTAATAATTTTAAATTCTTTGATATTCGGAGGCCGGTTCCTCGAAATATGAGTAACTTTAAACCACAATTAAACCAAATTTTTAGCAAGTTTTTCAGGAGAACATCTCACTGGAGCTTATGAAGTATTTATCGAATATGAATCTGAAGCAGCTGCAATTTTCCAATTGACATTCAAACTTGGCCTGCTATACTGGCCCGATCAATTCAGTCAACGCGTCTACGTCGTAACGCTTTTTCTCTTTACTCTGTCTAGAATAATGGTATTATATACACGTTTAAGTGTTTGTGATTTGAAGTTTTTTGAACATTTAAAAAGCACTGCTCCCAGGGTACGTTAACCCGTTAACCACCATCGCTACAAAAAATGAAAGGTTGCTCTGAACGCTCTGTTTTTTTGTAAAGCTAATTGAATTAAAATGATGAGAAACGGAGTCAGACGCTCGTTTTTGAGTTAAAAGCACATAGGGCTGAAAGGGTGTTTGTAACGAGTTATAACGTTGCTATGGTAACTTTTTTGTAGTCAAATATTGCTCAAAAGTTTATTCACTAGCACCATTATTGTAGGGTGAAAAAAAAAACAACACAAAACAAAACAAAACAAACAAACAAACAAAAAAAACAGACCGTTGCAGTCCTATCTGAAGACAGTGGAAACCGTTTGTGGGCCACCTTATATTAATTTCTAAAAGAATCTTTCTAATTAAAAAGAAGTTTGTTTTAGTCTATTCCGTAAAACGTAGCTGGTATAATGGTCTGTTAATATCGATAAAACAGAGGTCAAGGAAAGGTCTATAAAAGCATCTCTCTGTAAATGGAGTAGTACTTATTCACAAATTCATCAGGAAACAATGCTTTTGTACCATTACTGAGCTGACACTGCTGCGATACCAAGTTGTAGTTGCAACTCACACAGTTGTCATCTTCCATGCAACTTTTAATGCATGTTGGGTATTCTTGGACTTACATTGTAGACGTGCCCAATAAGCGCGCAGTGCATTTTGGATGACTTTGGCTCACCGCAGGTTTGCCCTGATGCAGTGACTGTGGAAAAACTTAGGAGAACATAGAATATAAAGGACGCTTTAGAGAGGGACACTCTGTCTTCAAACTGAAAACAAATACGGTTATTAGAATTGCACAAACTGTGGGTTGCAGATGAAACGCTTTAAAGAACTAGACACTGTTAACAGGTATACTGTTAAAGGGACAGGTTCACGGTTGAGCGCATGCTCATTAATTAAATTACTTTTTTCCAATTTATTATTAATTCTATCGGTTAATAATGCCACTCACATGCATCTCAGCGATCTCGGAGTGTATTTTAAAGTAGAAGTGTATTTCAGAGTAACCTGAAGTAGGATGGAGGAGTAGTAAAATCGCAGAAAAAATTAGTGGATTATGCCAACACTACCAACGTTGAATTTATTGTTGACCCGAAGGTTTTATTCCATGGTTGATTACTTTACAGCTATTTGCAAATCTAGTGCAAGTGACTGCCAGAGGAGTGTGCAGATTGGTTCTTTGACAACATTATGACATGATCCGTATTGCTTACATAGATGATACAGCAAGGTCTTTGCATCAGTTGAATTCGAAAAATAATGGTCCAATACTATATGAATTTTAGGCATTGAAACTATTTCCTGTCCTTTGTTGTTAAAGATCGCAAGGATGGACAAGGATTGAAACCTGAAAAACTTGGGCCAAAGTTTTAATGCTATGCCTTCAAAAATCACTCCCCGAAGAAATTTGTTTGATATCTTGTTGACAACTCTACAGGAGCGTTTTGTGAATGGTTATAGGCACTAAGTACAATGCCTTTAGCACATTATTGACTTGAACGACAGCAATCAATCCTCTTGACATAGCGACTTTAAGTGCCTTTCGTGTACCCTTGGCTGACGAGAAAAGCCCCCCGATCTAGATAACGTCAGTCATTCTCTCTCGTGTCAGTCCATACTTAATAGCCTCGATAATCCTTCCTACGAGGGAACAGTATAGAATCTAGTTCATCTTTGTACGAAACAGAGATATTGATTGATTGAGATTGATTGACCAGAATTTCGCCTGCGAGAGGATGCTGCTCTGAGGAAGGGGGGGGGGGGGGGGGGAGGTTCACGGGGGGGGGGGGAAAAAAGGGGGGGGGGGAATTTTCTCCCCCCCCCCAATCTCTCCCCCCACCGTAAACAACAGGGGACTGCGCAACCGACGAACCCCCCCAAAACATGTCTGGACTTTTCACTCAAAAAATTTTTTGCTATACTTTATCGCTTCTGTTTTTTTTTAAAGATTTATGCAGATGCACATGCCACGCGAACGGAGAAATGTGATATAGTTAGTTGTTGTGAAGAGAAAAAAATTGTTTAGGTGTGGTGGGGTGGGCTGAGGGAGGTGGGGGGGGGGGGGGGGGGGGGGGGGGGGGGGGGGGGGGGGGGGGGGGGGGGGGGAGCTCGGGGGGGGGGGGGGGAGAAAAGAGGGGAGGGAGAGCTTCTTCCCTTCCCCCAATCCTTCCCCACCCGCAAAGACCCCAGGGAGCTTGCTAGCAGACTAACTGCACGTAGATTTGTGATTCTTCTTACACTGAATATTTCTCAGTTCAATCTTGCAGTTGTTTTCATTATTTGAAATAAAGTCATTGTTATTTAACGGTTGTATTTTGGAAACGAAATAAGCGCTCTTAAAAATAAATGCGTCCTTCGAATTAGCACACTCTCTCCGACTTACAAAATCGAGTAAGCGCCTCGTGCACAAACTCGGGCAATTTTTTTGAAATCAAAATCCATTAAATTTATGTTTGAGCCAAGCCATAATTACACGAGGTAGAGAGATTTTGACTGTAATCCGATTGAAAAAAAATAGGAAGTTCTAGTTTTTCATCACGACACACTTAGTACGCAAGATAGAGAACAAAAATTGCTTATTTTCTACTCTTTCAGTCTTTCTTTTCTGCTCTATCAGTCGCCCTGCATTATTTATTTAAGTCTTTTGGAGAATCCTTTCCAGTCAAGAATTAAACCTGTTAATTACGGTCGTCTCTAGATCAAGAAGATCACCAAAATACCATTCGATAACTGATAACTCCAATTTTAAGAATATCTACTAGACAAAACATCTCTTTACATGCTGAGGAACAGAAAAATAAAGACAGGAACGTTATATCGATGTAGGTAAGCATATTTTGAAACCCGGACACATTTTGAATAAATAGTAAAACAATTAGTTGATTCCGCTTTCGCCCGGAGCCCATAACCCGGAGCAAGCAACTCCGCCCCCCACTGACTAGGCTTAATGTCACAGTGGACCCATTCATAATGGACCCATTCATTTTGTATAGAGTCCGTGAAAGTGGAAGCCCAGCTCCGCCCATGCATGAGCGC